ACCGCTTTCATGAGCTCAGAAACACAGACCTGGATTTTGAGTTTATTAAAATATATAAATAACAACAAAATCAGCTGAATGAAATGGTTTGAACAGTGTGTGATGGATAAAATCTACAGGGGACAAAATAAAAAATTAAGCTTGTTAAACACATTACATTCAGACATTCTCATAGATGCTAATCTAACGTGTCTGTTTTATTAAACTGGACACAGTCAGACCAGCCATCCCCTCTCCATCACGCTCAGCTTCCTTTGCAAACATACTAAAGGAGGTACTAACAACTTTTTTACCCTCCAGCTTCTTTACATCAGACATGTTGGCCAAGGTGATTGGCAAGAAGAAACTCATCTGTTATGATGATGCCTCAGTTGCTAATGCTAATGCAACACAAAGCACAGATCATGGATGGAAAAACACTGGAAACAGAGCCATTCCCAGCTTGCCTAGCATGCTGGTGTCCCATCAGTTTACCTTGAATGACAAGCGGTTTGTGCACAATGAACATGCACAAACCACAAGAAAAAAGCTGCTGACCTCAGTCATTACAGTCAATTTTGAATGTATCACTATGAATATAGCGGAGATTTCATCAACAAATCTGACTATGGACAAATGATGGTAGAAATGTAAAAGATTGACAGGAGAGGAGCTGTATGACAGCGCTGCCTGAGATGAAAGGTGAAAGGTGAAAGACTGATTTTCTTTGGTACTTTTAATTTATGCCCATTTTTTAGAGAAAAACATTTATGTTCAAACAATTTCATGTTCTGTTTTTTCATAAGATATAAAAACATAACACCATAATGGTTTAATTATATTTTACCTAAAGTTGGAGAGAACATTCTAGAAATGCTGTGATTTATTAAACAAAACCTTTTTAACTACCAAAACTCTATAATAACCAATATCAGTTCAACATAGTGATGTTCGATTCGTGAACGAATCGTTCAATACTCGAGAATCACTTTACTGACTCGTGAATCATGATTCACAAGCCCAACTGACTCACTGACTCATCCCTGTTTCGGTTAGCAAACTAATTCGCATAGTAGAAATATATCTAGCTTATAATTAAAATTGTGGGGGGGGAACAACAGCCAGTTTCTTAACAAAAGCATTTCTGCTCTGAACTGGAAGAAAAAACCCTCAGTAGAAGCTCACATCAAGAAAATAGCTCCTCGGTTCACAGTAGCATCGCTCTGCTAACATGCTAACAGCACATTTGAGCTACTCACCGTTGTC